TATACTAATATTATATATATTGCATATGTAATTAGGTAAATATTTTTTCGGTGGATTGTGGATTTCCTAATCGACACCAATTTTTAGTTCCATTTCGAGATGTAAGATATCATCTACAAGATTTTGCAGGATTGGGTAATGACCCTGAAAATGAGAAAGAATTGTTCAATCTTCGTCATGCGTCTTTAAGGAATGTGATCGAGAAAATATTCGGTATTTTTAAATCAAGGTTCATAATTTTTAAGTCAGCACCTCCATTTCTATTTAAGACACGAGTAGAACTTGTGTTAGTATGTGTAGCACTACATAACTTTCTACGTAAAGTATGTCGTTCTGATGAATTTCCAATTGAAGCGGTGGATGAACCTTCATCTTCAACGTTACCAATTAATGAAAATCATACTTTTGAACCTATTATTCAAACCCTGGAACAAAAGCGAAAAGACGCTAATACTTGGAGGACTAGTATACCTCTTGATATGTGGGTGAATGTTATTTAGGAGGATAAGATATTATGGAGAATTATTATTATTATTATTTATCTAGACATTATTATTTTTTATTATTTTTGTCTTTGACTCTTTTTAAATTTGAATGTATGAATTTTTTTTGAAAAAAAATGTCAAAAATCCACGAAAATTCTACAAAATCCCATAGAATCTATTAAAATTCTGATTTAAAAGTCTTGCAGAATCCATTAAAATCTTAATTTCAAGTCTTGTAGAATCCTGCAAAATCTTGAACGTCATGAAAATCCTGCAAAGTCTTTTAAAATTCGCTGGATTTTTTTTAACTAAAAAAGTCCTTTAAAATCTTAATCTAATACACCTCCCTAAATATATTTAACGATTCAAATTTAATCTTATATTCAATCATTATTAATATTGTAAGTGAGAGCGTAGAGAGAGAATATCATGAGAGGATCCAAAATTTCACACTACTCAACGGAAGAGTCACCATCCAGCGTCGTAACCGTGGCCTCGTCAATCTCGAAATTCACCCCTTTCTTGGGCTCCTCGGACACAACACTGTCAGGGCTGCTCTTAATCTCTTTCTCTACCTTACCGCCATCGCTGCCGCCGTCGTGAAACCTCCCCGAAATCCCTCCCCTTTTTCTCCCCCATCTTCTTCTTCTCCTCCTTCGTCGTTTCTTGCTCCGTTTCGTCTTCCAACTCGGGAATCCCCTCTCTCTCCCTCACCTCTTTCGAATCGGCACTGCTCACACTCGACTCGAACTGGTTCGGGTAACCCGAGTGCCCGCTGTAGAAAGCCTCAAACACGTTAAGAAAATCCCACGTGGAGACCTACGGCGACAACGGCGGAGGAGGGTAATAAGGGTAGTCCCCATTCTGGAAGCCATAGAAAGCATTGTAAGAAGGATTTGGCCACTGTCCAAACGTTGCCACGTGTCTCTCTAGCTCTTCGTAGAGCATGGGTGTGAACTGTGAGGGGAATCGTGAATGGAAGGGGAAGAAGAGGAAAGTTTAGATTTGGGTTCGGAGGTTAATGTCAGAACCGGAAAGGAGGAACCCGGGGTGGGGTGGAGGTTGCCGTGAGGTCTTGGTCTGTCGGTCAACATTTTTCAAAAATGAAT